TGGCCTTCCTGGCCACGAAACCAGGAAACAGATTAAGGAGTTAGTTGGGGAAGAGTTTGACCAACTCCATTATTCTTATTTGTTGTTTTGTCCAGATTGTTATTTGTGCCACGTGGCTGGCAGTTTCTCCCCCGTTCCCTGATTCTGACCCATATTCTCAATCTGGACAGATCGTCTTGCAATGCAACCAAGAGTCCGTCCCCATGTTTTACTCTGCCCTTGGCTACTTGGGCTTCTTGGCCGCTATCTGCTTCATGGTGGCTTTCTTTGCCAGGAATCTACCTGGGGCCTTCAATGAAGCTAACTGATTACCTTCAGCATGCTAGTCTTCTGCAGTGTTTGGGTGTCTTTTGTCCCCACATACTTGAGCACTAAGGGGAAATACATGGTGGCTGTGCAAATTTTCGCCATTTTGGCCTCAAGTGCTTGTTTGCTGGGCTGCATCTTCCTCCCCAAGTGCTACATTATTATTCTGAGGCCAGATCTAAATACAAAGGAACATCTAACCGTAAAAGTAAAATAGAAAAGTGATTAAAATTTTGTTTTCTCACAGGCATAATATTTATGTATTGCATTTTGTTGGATTTGTATGCTGCCTTTATATCTATTTGACTACCAAGGTGACTTACAGACATAGGAAATAAAAATATAATTTAAATATATTTCAAGAAATAATCAAAGGTTAAAATAAACCAATTAACAAGGAATAGTCGTGATGTAACCATGTAATAGCAGAATTGCAATGATGTAATTATATAAATGTAGGACAGAGGCGACAAGATTCTTGTAATCTGTTGGCTAGGATGACATGGATATGGAAATCTAAATCAGTTTGAACCTCTATAGCTTATTCTCAAATGTAGATAAAGGCAATAGAGCTGGGTACAGGTAGTCCTCAACCTATAATTACAGTTGAGCCCAAAATTTATGTTGCTAAGTGTGACATTAGTTAAGTGAGTTTTGCCTCATTTTTACCACCTTTCGTGCCACATTTGTTAAGTGAATCACTGCAGTTGTTAAATTAGTAATACATTTGTTAAGTGAATGTGGCTTCCTCATTGACTTTGCTTCTCAGAAGGTCATAAAAGGCGAACACATGACCCTGGAACATGGCAACCGTGATCAATATGAACCAATTGCCAAGCATCCAAATGTAAATCATGATCATAGGGATGCTACAATGGTTGCAAGTATGAAAAATAGTCATAGATAACTTTTTTAAGTGCCATTGGTAACTTTGAACAAACTGTTGTAAATTGAAGACTACCTGTATTAGCCATAGAACAATGAAAGCCAGTAATTATATAAATGTAGGACAGATTGTACTAGACTCTGAGGAGAGAAGCTAAGTGTCAGCTTTGGAAGCCATATTAGGCCGAAAGCTTCCATGCTGCCACTTTCTCCTGTGTGGGAAAGTAGGAGGGGTGATTTAGTAGAGGGGTTGTCTGTAGACATAATAGCATTCTTCCTGTTGGTCAAGGTCAGGGCAATCCTGCATCTGGAGAAGGAGTGGTTGGAATGATGTCTTAAGATGGGACAGCGGTTGATTGGAGCATGTGATTGACTGAGGAGTGAGGGGATGGTTTTGGGGATTTTGATTTACTGAGGGAAAATTTGGACCTCTCAGATTCGGATTTTCCCAGATGTGTCAGTTTACCTATTCTAATAAATAGAACTTTGAAAAATGCTTGCTTCAGAGTCTTTACTTGGAGTGAGGGGTTTTCTGGAACACTGATCAAAGGTCTGGCGACAAAAATATATGAAGAACGGCTGCAGGATTTGGGTCTGGTTAGTCTAAAGAAAAGAAGAATTAGGGGTGACATGATAGCAGTATTCCAGTATTTATTTTTTTAAAAATTTGATTTATATGCCGCCCTTCTCCAGAGACTCAGGGCAGCTTACAATGCGTTAAGCAATAGCCTTCATAGTTTTGTATATTTATACAAAGTCAGCTTATTGCCCCCACAAACTGGGTCCTCATTTCACCTACCTTAGAAAGGATGGAAGGCTGAGTCAACCTTGAGCCTTGGAGAGATTCGAACCAGCAGTAAATTGCAGGCAGCTGTGTTAATAACAGGGTGCTTAGACCACTGTACTATCAAGGCTCTTTGAGGTGCTGCCACAAAGAAGAGGGGGTCAACTTATTCTCCAAAGGACCAGAGGGCAGGAGAAGAAACAACAATTGGAACCTAATCAAAGAGAGAAGCAACCTGGAATTAAGGAGAAACTTCCTGACAATTAGGACAAGTAATAAGTGGAACAGGTTGTCTTCAGAAATCATGGGTGTTCCATCACTGGAATTTTTAAGAAGAGACTAGACAGTCACTTATCAGAAATAGTATAGGTTCTCCTGCCTGAGGAGGGGTTGGACTAGAAGACCTACAAGGTCCCTTCCAGCTCTATTCTATTCTAAAAGAGGAGGCCCTTTAATCTGTTGCCTAAGATGGCATGGATATGGAAATCTAAGTCAGTTTGAACCTCATCATTTTCTCTCTATGGTTTATTCTCAAATGTAGCTAAAGGCAGTAGAGCTGAGTATTAGCCATATGCCAATGAAATCCAGCTCCAAGGCTCTGAATGACCTCCCCCAGTAATTTCTTCAGATGTTAGGAAACATCAGGGATCAGCATTCCTTCCAAGAAAAGAGTTCAATATGGCCTAAAATTACAATCTTTCTGTCCTATGAGGAAGAGTTGGGCATCATCCTGGCTTCCTTGATCCTCTTCATTATCTTTACATGAAGTAAGACTTAGTCTTTTGAATTTTCATTAAACACCGAGAAACTCCCATAGTGAAGGCCAATAACAGGGATTTCTCCTAAATCCTCCTCATCTCCCTCCTGCTTTCCTTCTTCCTTCTTCTTTTCATTGGGCAGCCAAGAAAAGCCACCTGCCTCTTCAGTCAAACAGCCTTCAGTGTTATCTTCTCAGTTGATGTTTTCTCTGGCTCAGCCAAGACAATCATGGTGGTGCTGGCCTTCTGGGCTGCAAAGCAGTGGTGAAATTCAATTTTTTTTACTACCAGTTCTGTGGGTGTGGCTTGGTGGGCATGGCAGGGGAAGGATACTGCAAAATCTCCATTCCCACTCCACTCTGGGGCCAGCCAGAGGTGGTACTTGCCGGTTCTCCGAACTGCTCAAAATTTCCACTACCAGTTCTCCAGAACCTGTCAGAACCTGCTGGATTTCACCCCTGCTGCAAAGTCAGGAACACCACTGAACAAATGGCTGGGAAAAAGTCTGTCCAACTCCGTTATCCTTTCTTGCTCTGAAAATCAAGTTCTGTGCTACTTTTTCATCAGGTTCGCCTGATCCACCAGTTGCATCCCTTTCTAGATCGGGACTCTTTACGCACGGTCACTCATGCCCTTGTCACCTCCCGTATGGACTATTGTAACGCTCCTACATGGGGCTCCCCTTGAGGAGCACTCGGAGGCTCCAACTGGCGCAGAGTGCGGCCGCGCGGGTGGTGACGGGAGCGACGTGGCGCTCCCATGTAACATCTCTCCTGTGCGAGCTGCACTGGCTCCCGGTGGTCTTCCGAGTGCGCTTCAAGGTTTTGGTTATCACCTTTAGAGCGCTCCATGGCTTAGGACCTGGTTATTTACGGGACCGCCTGCTACCATCAATAGCCTCCCACCAACCAGTACGCTCCCATAGAGAGGGGCTCCTCTGGGTGCCATCGGCCAAACAATGTTGACTGGCAGCCCCCAGGGGGAGAGCCTTCTCTGTGGGGGCACCTACTATCTGGAACAAGCTACCCCTGGAGATACGGAGGATCCCGGATCTGCATACCTTCCGTCGCGTGCTCAATACTTTCTTATTTCATCAAGCTGGCCTGACCTAAGTCTTTCCCCTTTTTAAATGGAAATTTTAAATTTGGTTTTAAACTATTGGGGTTTTAAATTTGTTCAGCCAAATTATTTAATTCGTTTTAGTTTATTTTAAATTTTGTATCTATATGTTTTATTCTATGGCTGTTCACCGCCCTGAGTCCTTCGGGAGTAGGGCGGTATACAAATTCAATAAAATAAATAAATAAATAAATACTGGGATGGGAATTTTTTTTTCCATTCCCTGAATCTGACATGAACTCCCAACCTGCTTAAAGCAGAATAAATGTAAAAATGCAACACCACTATGATATTGGAAGAATTGTAAAAATTCTCTTTTTTTAAAAAAAGATATTCATTATATTCACATGAATTGTATGCAAGAATAAATTAAAAAATCAGGTGTATGTATTTCTAAGTGGGAAATACTTGAATTCTTGTAATTACTTTCCCTTTCATATCAATAAAACTTGCTAAACTCCATGAAAATAATTCAATGACGTAGTAGGCAGTGTCTCCCGGCTTGGAAATTGTTAGTTTTTTGCAAAAAAATAAAAAATAAAAATAAATAAAAAATAAAAAATTCCAGAAGCACACACAGATAACTGATTCAGCTGGATTCATTAACTTCTTTTTATATACATAATAACAGATGAAGTAAATTTTACAATACCAATAGCAGAGTTCTTTCAATGTGATAACAAGTAGAGAGATCAGTTTCCAGTTTTAGTTCAGTAGACAAACAAGCCCAGGCCTTTTCATTTCAGAGCTGAGCACAGAGCTCAATACAAAGAGAGCCTTTAAGCTTCTGCACAGTTAAGCTTCTGCACACACTCAGTTGCCTAAGCCACATCCAGACTTCAGATTTAAGTTTCTGTTTCCAAATAAGCCCTTTTGGCTGAACCTGTTACCATGCCTATTCATTGGCTGACCTTGTTACCATGTCTCCATTCACTCCCCTTTGGCTGATCTATTCCAGTCTTTTCTTTTGAATTGGTCTTGGTGGTGTTTTTTTTTTTCCAAACTTCCTTTCTCAATGGAGCATTTTGGAAAGTACATTCTTGAGGAAGTTACAACAGTGATGTTTCTTCTCCTCATAATTTTCAAAAATCACCACTATCCCTTGTTTCAGGTTGATGCCACATCCCTTGGGATTTTCCTTCCCAACAGCTGAAGAGCAAGATGAGGTAATCCAACTTCCAGGCTGCATAAACACCTTGGGTGAAGTTTTGGGTGGGGCAGATGCTGTGCAGATGAATATTGTCTTATCCTCTCAGATGTTAGTGAGCTCTGTCTACACTACAGAAGCTACTGCAGGTTTGAGTTTGAAAGATCTTCTGCTAACAGTGTAAGGAATGCAGTTCCATGGCAGGAACCAGTGCAGGCACAGAAAGTACTATCCTCTTCTGTTATTTCTGCTGGTCCTGTTCCTGCCTTGCACAGCCTCCAAGATGTGGAAGACCTCCTGCCCTTTGACTCTGGGGCGGGATGGAGAACAGCCATCAATTTACGGCAAGCCAGGAGACCTTTTCATTAGTGGCATGATCTGTGGAATGAAGACTCTTTTTCAACAAAATAATTTCCACCGGACTCCCTCTGCTATAGTTTCTGAGTAAGACTACAGGGGTGTTCCAACTTATTTTTCTTCCTTCCCCTCTTTCCTTCCTTGCTCTCTTCCCATCTTTTTTTTTTTATTATTTGATTTATATGCCGCCCTTCTCCGAGACTCAGGGTGGCTTACAATGCATTAAGAAATAGCTTTCATACTTTTGTATATTTATACAAAGTCAGCTTATTGCCCCCACAAACTGGGTCCTCAATTTACCTACCTTAGAAAGGATGGAAGGCTGAGTCAACCTTGAGCCTGGCAAGATTCGAACTTACTAATTGCAGACAGCTGGAGTTAAATTACAATGCATTAATCTGCTGAGCTATCCAGGCTCCTCCAGGCTCTTTGTCTCTCCTCTTCCCCTTTCTCCTTTCCTGTCCCTTCTTGGATGCTCAAATGCAAAAAGGGAAACATTTCTCCTTTTGTTTTGTTTTGATTTTTGCTTTGCTAACCCTCTGTCACAGTGGTGGGTTTCAACCGCATCATGCACGCGCTTCGCAAGCGCAGTGTATTATGGAACAGCTGAGATGCAGCAATCCGCTCTGCTGCGCCTTTCAGCTGGGCTAAAAATGACCAAATAAAAGGTATCTATAATGCAGGGGCGAGCGGGAGGGCCAACCTAACCATCGGAGAGAAACCGTTTTCTCTCAGCTCACCATCATCACTACTGGCATGGCCGAACTGGGCCAAACTGGTAGAAACTCACCACTGCTCTGCCAGTGAAAACGGACCCCTCCCGAGCACTGTTTTTGCTGGCAGAGGCACCAAGGGCCGGTCCTTCGTTGTTTCCAGGGCGGCTCCGCGGGCCAGAACTAAGCACTCCGTGGGCCTTGAGTTTGACATTCCTGAGCTAGAGGAATGGGAAGTCTTTCTGCCACCAGTTTAATGTGCAGAGCAAAGAGCTATTCTGCTTTTCTTCTGCTTATTTTCACCAAACATGATCAGAACTGTTTGATGAGAAAATTTGTGGATACATCAATGCCAAGCGACCAGCCCAGAGCACAAACTGGTTAGGGAAGAGAAGGGGATGGGTAAAGAGAAAGAAAGAGAAAGATCGGTAGGAAGAGGAAACTGCTCCAAATAGCTGACAGGAAACTTAATGATTTTTTTACATTGTGCAAATGGGAAAAAAGTGCTTAAAAAGGAACGAGCAATCTGAGTTCTTTTTTAAAAAAATTCTATTTCAAAAATATAAGGGTATGAATTGAATGGTTTGTGAAGTAACCAACAAAATGTAAGTATCAGCAATATTGGTTAAGAAGTGAATCTCAGTCAGCTCTCATCCCTAGTTCATACGTTCACTAGGTCTTGCATCTTTGCAAACTTGGAAAAAACTATCTTAATCACTTTTCCTTAATCGCTTGATATAATGAGTTATATCCACTTTTTCCCATGAGTGTTCTGTTTTAAAGTCTTCAGTAGCTTTGTAGACTTCACACAGCATTCAGAAATTGGCAGATCAGAAATAAGAATCTACTTCAAAATATGTCAAAATTGTCTTGACCCTAAAATAACATCAAACTCCTACCTCCCAATGACAGGAGATAGCAAATAGCTTAGATAGAATTGCAGATGTAGTCTACATCAACTATTGATGTAGTCAATAGTTATTGATACATTGCAAATATTTACAAGGTTAAAAAAAAAACCAATGAAATAGATTGGTATCTTGCTGTGGTTGATGTTGATGGGTTGTAATCATATTTGCAGGAAAATAAATCCATTTTATTGGAAAATCCTGTCCTTCCTTTTTGCTGTCCAAGAGATCAACCAGGATCCAAAATTCTTATCCAACATCACATTGGGCTACACAATCCAGGACAGCTATTTTGATGTGAAAATGACTTCCGACGCTCTGATGGATCTGCTTTCAATTGGAGAGGCCAACGTGCCCAACTACAGCTGTGGAAGGCAGAAAAACATCCTGGCACTTCTTGAAGGGGCTGCCACGGACATCTCCATCCAAATTTCAGCCATGCTGGGTACCTACAAAATCCCACAGGTGTTTGTATGCATGGAACTGTACCTAGATTTGTAATAGGAGTGAAAAGTCAGCATCCTGATATCCCAATGCTGATTGGCGACTCATGAAATCTAATAGTGATAATTTCCCCTTAATAATAGCATCTTCAAGGCATGGCCCAGCCATTCTTGATAGAAAGATAGATAGATACCCGTTCGTGGTAGAAAGCCTGATCCCTTGATGGTTATTTCAATTCAGTGTTGGTTGGATGAGTAGACTGTTGTCCCCAATGCGGGTCTGAGCCTGGTGCCGAGGTCAATGATGGACACCAGACATGAGGTGATTTGTGTTTTTGATTGCTTTTTATTGGAGTACTCCAATGAAACCGGCTCCTGGCCTAAATGCCAAGAACCAAGAACAAAGGATTAAGAAAGTTTTATATATTTTCACTAAAGGAGAAGGGGGGACAAAGCAGGATAGTAAGTAATAACCATCTAATAAACATTTTAGTAATGATCTAGCTATTTGTTCTTTTGGTCTCTGTCTGTCCCTCTTCTAAGCCTTGCCTAATGAATGCTCCAGGAGTTATCTAATAAACATTTTATTTCCTGCAGGCCATCTCTATTCCTAATTTTTAGCTGAGGTCTGCAATTTGCCTAACTCTGTTTTACTTTTATCAGCTTTCTAACTACCCAGAATTGTTACAAGCTTTACATCTGCATATTCCCTGTGAATAAGCAGTCTTTGTTCTTGTCAGATAGACTCCACAATTACAGGCTTCCTGATTTACTTTCAAGTCTGTGTCATGACCTTGCTTTATTTTAATACAGAGCCCATCAAGACTTCTTAGTCATTAATGGAGAAATGATCTCTAAAGTGAGGTTCCTGCTTAAGGGCTTGTAGTTGGGCAAAATGACAAGGGAAGCAACTACCATATAAAAGTTCCGTTTTTTTGGGGGGGGCAAAAGGTGGCTACCCTTTCTCCAAGAAGAAAAACATAATTTAAATCCTCAATTTGGATAGTTAATATTTGGACCTTGATATGACAAAATAGTGACCCTTAATACTTTCCTTTTCAGATCAGTTATACTTTTGCTTCACATGTGCTAAGCGATAAAACTCAGTTTCCCTTTTTCTACCGGACTCTCCCTTCAGAAGGAACCCAGTACTCAGGGATTGTGAAACTCCTCCATCATTTCAGATGGATTTTAATTGGGGTCATTGCTCCAGACAATGACGATGGACAAACCTTCATGAGAACTTTAACAACCCTGCTCACAAGGAATGAAATTTGTGTGGTTTTGTCCCAAACCTTCTCTGTGGTTGCCTTCCATATACGTATTAATTTAAAACAATTCTACAAATGGACACAAGTCAATGTCTTTATTTATTTTGGAGAACAAGGTTCCTTCATAAATGGAATATTTATTATGCAGGAAGTGTTTAACCGTGTGAAAGCATCCACTTATGGCAAAGTCTGGATTACTACAGCTAGCTGGGATTTTATGCTGGATTTGAGATACAGTCCAGAAAATATACTCTACACTTATGTTTATTTTTCCTTCTTCACCCACCAGAAAAAGTGGGCAAACCAGGATGATTTCCACTTATTTTATCCGTCTATTAGAAGATTTGTAGAGATAACATTTCATTGTTCATATTCAAAGCATCCCTTGGCCAAGAAAGGTAGGACAAAGTGCACCGAGAAAGAGAAGCTGAGGATCCAACTGTCCAAGGAGGGGAAGGAAAGGAGCTTCTCTCTAGACAACTACCAAATTTACCACTCTGTCTGGGCTGCAGCACAGGCGTTAAATGCTGCATACTCTTCCAGAAGTGAGAAGATGAGGAGAAAGGATAGAGAGACGATAGAAGTTCATAAATTGCAACCATGGCAGGTATTACCTTTTCCATTATAGGTCTCTATCCTCTACTTGAGGCTCAGTACACTAACTGCATGGAATGTATAGCTAAATGGAAACAATGCACCATGCTGAGATTTGAGCAAATGCAACAGTTAATCTCCCCTAGGTACCAAACAATAATAGTTCAAGTGTCAACTACTTAACAACAATTATCTTCATCCCATTACATCAGCCCATCCCACCCAGCCAGGAGGAAAGGTATGTTACAGACCCCATCAGTTAAAGACTATGACTGGTGGGGTCTAGCAAGAGAGCCTTCTCTGCCATTTTCCCCAGAGTTGAAGCAGCCACTGATCTTCTGAAAAGGATGTTAAAATGGCTTCGGTCAGGTCACTTCAGGGTTGACAGAGGAATTAAAACATGGCTCTGTTGATCTGTGTGGAGAGCCCAGAGGACTATGCAGGCATGGGGCTGGTTAAAAGTCCTCCTTTTGCCTCTTAACTAATCTTAATAGTGTTCACTCACTCTTGTCTCCTTTTAATTTTATATATACTGTTTTATATTTTAATGTTCTATTGTACACCATCCAGAGTTCAACAATGAAGGTTGAACAATGAATGGTTCAGATATGTGAAAAACAAATTATAATATAATAATACTACCACATACCCAAGAGAGATACACCGAGTCATTTGGTATTTCCTTGATTTCATTTTTTTTTCTGAGTAGAAACTCAGCTCAGATTTAGGGATCTTAGTAATACATAAACATAATGCTTTCCTTCCCAAAGAACTAGATCTCATAATGGACATTTAAGATTAAAATATAAGATGTGTCCAGACATTCAAAAATGCATAGCCACCTGAGTTTGAATGAAGTTTCACTCCACGGGACTTTCAAGGCTAAAAAATTAATCGTATCTCCTCCTTTCCTTCTCTTCTTTTGTCTTCTTCCCCTCCTACATCATCATCTGCTCTTTCTATTTTTCCTCTCCTGTTTTCCCCTTCACCAGTTTCACTCCTTCCTCCAAAGCTCTCATTTTTACAACTCTTCCATGGGTAGAGTGTATTTAGATGAGAATGGCAAGATGGCAGCTGATTTAAACATCGTGAGCTCGTTGATATTCCCTAATAAGTCCATAAAGAGATGGCAATTTGGGAGTCTGAGAAGAGAAGAATCTCCAGAGCTCAAGCTTTTCATTGATCAAGATGGTACTGCCCCCCTCAACCTACTGGACAAGGTGAGAGAGAAAAGGCTTTAATTTCTCCAACTTTAGTAACTTTATTGCCTTGAATACCTGTCATTCTTTTAACTGGAAAAACCAAAAGATCTCATCTCTCCATTACTGATATTATTCCTATACTGGAGCCTTATCATCCCTTCATAAACATCACGAGGCCATTCTTGATATCACACAAAGAATGTTATCTTTACTGTTAGATTGGCATGACAATGCAATGAAGTCTATAAAGGTCCACAAGGGGAATCAGAATGACAAAAAGAACATGGAGCTTTCCTCCACCCATTTTGTGAGTTATGGGGCTGGTGGAAGTTGTCAAGGACAACTTAAATCAATCTTATTTGTGGATAACTAGAAGACAGTGTCTTAGGGAGGCAACATAAAGACAAAGTCATCAAGGCATGTTTTAGTCAGGGCTAAGTGTAAATGGAGAAAGCTGTTTAGGATTAAAATATGATGACATTTGCAAAGCACCATCAGATCACCTGAAGCTCAGTCCAGAGCCTCGGTGGCACAGTGGTTAGAGTGCAATATTGCAGGCTACTTCTGCTGACTGCCTGCAATTTGGCAGTTCAAATCTCACCAGGCTCGAGGTTGACTCAGCCTTCCATCCTTCCGTGGTCGGTAAAATGTGGACCCAGATTGTTGGGGGCCAGAGGCTCACTCTGTAAACCGCTCAGAGAGGGCTGTAAAGCAATATATAAGTCTAAGTGCTACTGGTATTACTATTAACAGAAAGCTTCATGGGAAACCCTGAAGAAGCAGAAGGAATGAACAGAGTGACACCTAACTAGGGAAGCAATAGATAGTTGTATCAGTCATAAGAACAGTATACAGGCTTGAAGCTCCAAATTCAGCACACTGCTTAAGAATGACTTTATACTCCGGATCTCTCATCGCCACAAATAAATGAGATCTATCACATTTCCTTGACTTCTCTTTCTTTTTTCTTGCTCAGCCTCTGCCTTCTTCCAAGTGTGTGGAAAGCTGCCATCCAGGTTTTGTCAAGGTGCCTCGGGAAGGGAAACCCCTTTGCTGCTATGACTGCCTTCCTTGTGGAGAAGGGACCATCTCCATTTGGGAAGGTGGGTGATGCTGGAGAAAAAGGAAGGAGGAGTGTTTGTGTATGTGTCTGAAAATTAGCATTTTGGGAAAGCTAGCAGCAACACCATGTTCACCCAGCTTTCACCAGAATAATGAAAGTGGTGCAATAATATCAAGCCATAAGCTTTCTCCCTCTGGGCCATGCCTTGGTGCACTTAGAAAAGGGCTGAGATTTGCATCTAAACATTGACACTCTACTTTCATCAGTCTGATCCTATGGATGCCAGAGCCAAGGCCATTAGTGACATTCTCCCAGCAGCCACCAAAAGCAGACTAAGATGCTGGTTTTCATGGAAAAACTGATCCACTACCTGGGAAAAATGTGTACCAAATCAGTCATACACTGATTTATTTTATTCATTCATACCTTTTCTTTTTGGACTAATTGTTATTTATTATTTTTTTAAATTTATATACCGCCCTTCTCCCTGAGGACTCAGGGCGGTGTACAGCCAGAATTAAAAAACATGAAATACAAATATTAAAAAACAATTAATATATATATAAATTTGGCCCAAAATTAAAAATACAAACCAATTAAAATATTTAAAATTTCTTCTTAAACCAGCTCGGCTTGCTGGAAAAAGTGGGTTTTAAGGGCACGGCGGAAGGCACTAAGGTCTTGGATTCTCCTTATCTCTGGGGGCAACTGATTCCAGAGGGTAGGTGCCCCCACAGAGAAGGCCCTCCCCCTGGGGGTCACCAGCCTATATTGATTGGCTGATGGCACCCTGAGGAGGCCCTCTCTGTGGGCGCGCACGGGACGATGGGAGGTCGTCAGTAGCAGCAGGCGGTCTCGGAGATAGCTAGGCCCGATGCCATGGAGCGCTTTAAAGGTGATAACCAACATCTTGAAGCGCACCCGGAAGACCACTGGGAGCCAGTGCAGCTCGGGCAGGAGCGGTGTTACATGGGAGCGCCATGCTGCTCCCGTCACTACCCGCGCTGCTGCATTCTGGACCAGTTGGAGCCTCCGGGTGCTCTTCAAGGGGAGTCCCATGTAGAGAGCGTTGCAGTAGTCAAGGCGAGAGGTGAAGCTTACAAATGAAGCTTAAGTTACAGAAATTGGCGGCTCTGTTGTGGCCCGTCAGCTTCCAGGAGAGCTAGCAGCAGAGTCAGATGAGGAGGAGATGGAGGGAGGGCCTGGGCCAGATTCAGAGCCTTTGGGAGGCTTTGATAAGGAAATAGCATCAGAGACACAGGGAGAGCCAGGGCCCTTTGTCCTCCCCCAGGTGGAGGGGGAGCTCTCTTTGGGGCCTGAGCTGAGTGACGGGAAAGAACAGATGGGGGCCATCCCAGATGCGCGTATGCCCACAGAGGAAAAGAGAGGAGAGCAAAGGAATGCAGTAAGCCAACTCTCAGGGATAGGCAGATGCAGACACAAGCCAGCCCCTCCCTCGCTGGGAAATAAATAGGAGGGATTTGGGAGTGGCCAGTTGTCAGAGACAACTGTTTGTTTCTAGTATACAGCAAGCAATTCGGATTTCTTGGATAAACCCAGGTTTGTTGGGACTAATTATATATGATCTTTTGTTTATCCCTGTGAATAAAAGACTGTTACTGCCCTGTTATAAAAAGGGGGTTAACTCATGTGTAAATGTCTTATCACTACTTGCGAAGGCTGGGTTAGAACAGGCTCCTAGATATATTTAATTTGGCAACCCAGTTGCCTTTCAGTTTGTTAGAGTGGGGATTCCCATATCTCTTGAAAATTGCTGGTGATGGGTGGGTGGGGGGTGAATGCTTCCCCTTTACCTAAATTCTTCCCAGGCTTCATCATTTTTATAAAATCTCCACCTCAAACATGTGTGAAGGAGCTTTTGCCCCAAACAGGGCATTTGACCAAACGGAAAAAGTAAAACCTCTACCAGAGATATTATACTTTTTCTTTTCAGATGCAAAAAAATGCCTGACATGTCCAGAAGATCAATATCCGAACATGGCCAAAGTTCAATGTATCCCTAAAATTATAACTTTCATGTCCTACCAAGAATCTTTGGGGATCATCCTAGTCTCTTTTATTCTATATTTCTCCATCACTACTGCTCTGGTGTTAGGAATCTTCATTAAACATCGAGAAACTCCCATTGTCAAAGCTAACAACCGGGATCTCTCCTATATCCTCCTGGTCTCCCTCCAGCTTTCCTTTTTGACTTCCTTTCTCTTCATTGGTCAGCCAAGAAAGTCCACCTGCCTCCTCCGTCAAACAACCTTCAGCATCGTTTTCTCACTTGCTGTCTCTTCTGTGTTGGCCAAAACCATCACAGTAGTGTTGGCCTTCTTGGCCACAAAGCCAGGACACACGATGAGGAAATGGCTGGGAAAAGCTTTGACCAACTCCATTGTTATTTCTGGTTGTAGTGTCCAGATTGCCATTTCTGCCATTTGGTTGGGAATCTCTCCCCCCTTTCCAGACTCTGATATGTATTCCCAGCCTGGAGAGATTGTCCTGCAATGCAACGAAGGGTCTGTTGCCATGTTTTATGGAGCCCTGGGCTACATGGGCTTCCTGGCCACCATCTGCTTCACAGTGGCTTTTCTGGCCAGAAACCTGCCTGGAGCCTTCAATGAAGCCAAGCTGATCACCTTCAGCATGCTGGTCTTCTGTAGTGTCTGGATCTCCTTTGTGCCCACCTATCTGAGCACCAAAGGGAAATACATGGTGGCTGTGCAGGTCTTCTCCATCTTGGCCTCCAGTGCTGGGCTGCTGGGCTGCATCTTCATCCCCAAATGTTACATCATTTTAGTAAGACCAAATCTGAACACCAAGGAACTTCTAATAATCAAAGTAAAATAGAAAACCTAGCTTTTCTGGATTCATTTTTTAGCAATCTAATTTAAGAAGAAAATTCCCTTGCTCTTTCAAATATTGGGGAATATGTACAAATTAGTCTGCAGAGAAAATATTTTATTGAACTATTTTACTTTTCTAAATCATATGAATGCGAAATAACCTCATAACTACATAGTACGATGGACTTGCAGGGATGGCGCAACGTGCATTAGGAGTGGGTGTTTGTTAATATGGTTTATTGGGTTAGGGATTTTCTGTCTTCACTGTGAATTGTGTTGTGTTGGGCGGGATGCACTGAGGGAGCTCCACCAATCTCATTGTACATATGTTGTGCAGTGACAATAAAGGTTATTATTATTATTATTACAATTTATTGAGGAGTCATACTTGGGCTTTTGCTGATTTAATAAGTAGGACTGAAAGAGCAAAGGAGAAAGCGGCGCAAAGAGAGCGAATTATGAAAACCACCTTTTAATTTAAAACATGACATTAAGAGGTTTGCAGATTTCTACAAGCTGACAAATGAGAACAGCTGTGTCTTCTCTTGGCCTAATTCTTAATAAATGCACTGGATATGCGTTCTGTTCCTTTTTCTCTAGTGCCTTAAAGCTGGATAACTTCAGCACTCAGGACTATCTCATAAGAACCTCTTCACTTAAATGGTTTTCCTCCATTCTTATGGGGAGACGCAGGTAGTGTGGATCTGAGTACATGATAGAAAAGCCAGAAGGGAGAAAATTGTGTCAGACACTGGATGTAAATATAACAGGATGAGATTTGTCCTTGATAAACCTGAAACAAGCATAAAAAATAAATGAGATAAAATATATAATATATAATTTCCCAGTGACCTGTTTGCAGACCTCTGCAAATATAACAGGATGAGATTTGTCCCTGATTACCGTATTTTCCGGCGTATAAGATGACTTGGCGTATAAGATGACCCCCGAATTTTCCTGTTAAAATATAGGGTTTGGGCTATATTCGCCGTATAAGACTACCCCTCTTCCAACGCACACCAAATAAAAATTAAAAAAAATCAACTGGCTCACCCACAATGTAAAAGCAGCTGTGCTAGACCCAAAATGCCCCCTGCAACAAGCAGGAACCTCACACAGCCACAAAAAGCCAAAAAAAAAAAAACAACTTTCACACTTTACTCACACACAACACAACACAACTGGCTCACCCACAATGTAAAAGCAGCTGTGCTAGACCCAAAATGGCCCCTGAAACAAGCAGGAACTTCACACAGCCACAAAAAGCCCCAAAACCCAACTTTCACACTTTACAAACACAAAATTCCATATACAGCTTTGTGAGATTTTGTGTGTTTGAGTAGTTAGAGTGAAACAGTACAAAAACATACTAAATCTCAGAAAGCTGCACAAATATTATTTTATTTTATTTTTATTTTTATATGAAAGCTAAATTTAAAACTTCCTAAACATTAAATGGCTAGGTCTAAAAAAGAACAACTAAAAAAATTCCCAATTAACTATTTTTTTTAAAGATCCCAAAGGGGGAAAAAACTTACCCAATAGAACAGGGGTCTCCAACCTTGGCAACTTTAAGACTTGTAGACTTTGTTTTGCTGGCTGAGGAATTCTGGGGTTGAAGTCCACAACTTGTGGCTTGCTGATGGAATGGATTCAGGCAAGCGAAACAAGCAAGCGAAGCAAGGCAAGCAGTTAAGGTAAGCAAGCTGGAGGGGGAAAACTTTTTTCCTTCTCCATGGCTCTGGCGATCCCAGCTGAGTTGCCTGATTAGCAGATCGTCAGAGCTTGGATCGTCAGAGCCATGTGAAAGGAGAAAACTTTTTTCCTTCTCCATGGCTCTGGCGATCCCAGCTGAGTTGCCTGATTAGCAGATCGTCAGAGCTTGGATCGTCAGAGCCATGTGAAAGGAGAAAAGTTTTTCCCTTCTCCATGGCTCTAGCGATCCCAGCTGAGTTGCCTGATTAGCAGATCGTCAGAGCTTGGATTGTCAGAGCCATGTGAAAGGAGAAAACTTTTTTCCTTCTCCATGGCTCTGGCGATCCCAGCTGAGTTGCCTGATTAGCAGATCGTCAGAGCTTGGATCGTCAGAGCCATGTGAAAGAAGAAAACTTTTTTCCTTCTCCATGGCTCTAGCGATCCCAGCTGAGTTGCCTGATTAGCAGATCGTCAGAGCTTGGATTGTCAGAGCCATGTGAAAGGAGAAAACTTTTTTCCTTCTCCATGGCTCTGGCGATCCCAGCTGAGTTGCCTGATTAGTAGATCGTCAGGGCTTGGATCGCCAGAGCCATTTAAGGCTCGTCAGAGCCTTTTGGGCTGGTCTGCCTGGTTACAGGAGAACGACACCTGGTGTATAAGACGACCCCCGACTTTTGAGAAGATTTTCATGTGTTAAAAAGTCGTCTTATATGCCGGAAAATATGGTAGCTGAATCAAATGTAAAAAATTAATAAGGTAAAATTTATAATTGGTAGGTTTTCCACTGAGCTGTTTTCAGACCTCTGTGCAACTTTCAAAAAGCAAGTATCTCCTTGGGCTTCAGACATTTTACACTTCTGAATTATATAGTTACCCTCCTAATGCAAAAGAAGGGAATTGCCTTCTACACTGCCCATTTTCTCCCATTAAATCCACTTAGTTAAATTACAAAGGTAAAACACTTTTCCACATTCTAAAACACATTGTTGAGATATTTTGAGATATTCTTGAAACTTTCGGGCCTAGGAAGTCCATATCTTGCCATTGACCATTGTCTGAATTACAGTACTTCACATTGATTGATATTAAAGAAGAACATGAAGGTAAAGGTTCCCCTCGTACATATGTGCTAGTCATTCCTGATTCTAGGGGGCGGTTCTTATCTCCGTTTTAAAGCCGATAAACCAGCGCTATCCAAAGACGTCTCTGTGGTCATGTGGCCGGCATGACTAAATGCCAAAGGCGCATGGAATGCTGTTACCTTCCCACCAAAGGGGTCCCTATTTTTCTACTTGCATTTTTTACATGCTTTTGAACTGCTAGGTTGGCAGGAACGGACGACCTTTCGATCAACAAGCTCAGTGTCTTAACCACTGAGCCACCGGGTCCCTATAAAGAAGACCATAGTTCTTTATTAGCTAAAACTGCAGCTTAGCTACTTGAGGCTAATTACTGTAACTGCATGGATTGTATAGCTAGATGGAAACAATGCATCATGCTGAGATTTGAGCAAATGCAACAGTTAATCTCCCCTAGGTACCAAACAATAACAGTTCAAGTGTCAACTACTTAACAACAATTATCTTCATCCCATTACATCAGCCCATCCCACCCAGCCAGGAGGAAAGGTATGTTACAGACCCCATCAGTTAAAGACTATGACTGGTGGGGTCTAGCAAGAGAGCCTTCTCTGCCATTTTCCCCAGAGTTGAAGCAGCCACTGATCTTCTGAAAAGGATGTTAAAATGGCTTCGGTCAGGTCACTTCAGGGTTGACAGAGGAATTAAAACATGGCTCTGTTGATCTGTGTGGAGAGCCCACAGGACTATGCAGGCAAGGGGCTGGTTAAAAGTCCTCCTTTTGCCTCTTAACTAATTTTAATAGTGTTCACTCACTCTTGTCTCCTTTTAATTTTATATACACCGTTTTATATTTTAATGTTCTATTGTACACTATCCAGAGTTCAGCTATGAAGGTTGAACAATGAATTGTTCAGATATGTGAAAAACAAATTATAATATAATAATACTACAGAAAAATGCCAAAATAAGTCTAAATTCAGAGTTATGCCACATACCCAAGAGAGATATACCGAGTCATTTGGTATTTCCTTAATTTCATTTTTTTTTATGAGTAGAAACTCAGCTCAGATTTAGGGATCTTAGTAATACATAAACATAATGCTTTCCTTCCCAAAGAACTAGATCTCAAAATGGACATTTAAGATTAAAATATAAGATGTGTCCAGATATTTAAAAATGCATAGCCACCTGAGTTTGAATGAGTTTCACTCCACGGGACTTTCAAGGCTGAAAAATTAGTGGTATCTCCTCCTTTCCTTCTCTTCTTTTGTCTTCTTCCCCTCCTACATCATCATCTGCTCTTTCTATTTTTCCTCTCCTGTTTTCCCTTCACCATCCCAGTTTCACTCCTTCCTCCAAAGCTCTCATTTTTACAACTCTTCCATGGGTAGAGTGTATTTAGATGAGAATGGCAAGATGGCAGCTGATTTAAACATCATGAGCTCGATGATATTCCCTAATAAGTCCATAAAGAGATGGAAATTTGGGAGTCTGAGAAGAGAAGAATCTCCAGAGCTCAAGCTTTTCATTGATCAAGATGGTACTGCCCCCCTCAACCTACTGGACAAGGTGAGAGAGAAAAGGCTTTAATTTCTCCAACTTTAGTAACTTTACTGCCTTGAATACCTGTCATTCTTCTAATTGCAAAAACCAAAAGATCTCATCTCTCCATTACTGATATTATTCCTATACTGGAGCCTTATCATCCCTTCATAAACATCACGAGGCCATTCTTGATATCACACAAAGAATGTTATCTTTACTGTTAGATTGGCATGACAATGCAATGAAGTCTATAAAGGTCCACAAGGGGAATCAGAATGACAAAAAGAACATGGAGCTTTCCTCCACCCATTTTGTGAATTATGGGGCTGGTGGAAGTTGTCAAGGACAACTTAAATCAATCTTATTTGTGGATAACTAGAAGACAGTGTCTTAGGGAGGCAACATAAAGACAAAGTCATCAAGGCATGTTTTAGTCAGGGCTAGGTGTAAATGGAGAAAGCTGCTTAGCATTAAAATATGATGACATTTGCAAAGCACCATCAGATCACCTGAAGCTCAGTCCAGAGCCTCGGTGGCACAGTGGTTAGAGTGCAGTTCTGCAGGCTACTTCTGCTGACTGCCGGCTGACTGCAATTTGGCAGTTCAAATCTCACCAGGCTCGAGGTTGACTTGGCCTTCCAGTCTTCCGAGGTCGGTAAGCTGAGGACCCAGATTGTTGGGGGCAATATGCTGATTCTGTAAAACACTTAGAGAGGGCTGTAAAGCACAAAGTGTAAGTGCTATTGCTACTGCTGTTGCTGTTAACAGAAATCTTCATGGGAAACCCTGAAGAAGCAGAAGGAATGAACAGAGTGAGACCTAACTAGGGAAGCAATAGATAGTTGTATCAGTCATAAGAACAGTATACAGGCTTGAAGCTCCAAATTCAGCACACTGCTTAAGAATGACTTTATACTCCTGAACTCTCGTGCCCACAAATAAATGAGATATATCACATTTCCTTGACTTCTCTTTCTTTTTTCTTGCTCAGCCTCTGCCTTCTTCCAAGTGTGTGGAAAGCTGCCATCCAGGTTTTGTCAAGGTGCCTCGGGAAGGGGAACCCCTTTGCTGCTATGACTGCCTTCCTTGTGGAGAAGGGACCATCTCCATTTGGGAAGGTGGGTGATGCTGGAGAAAAAGGAAGGAGGAGTGTTTGTGTATGTGTCTGAAAATTAGCATTTTGGGAAAGCTAGCAGCATCTCCATGTTCACCCAGCTTTCACCAGAATAATGAAAGTGGTGCAATAATATCAAGCCATAAGCTTTCTCCCTCTGGGCCATGCCTTGGTGCACTTAGAAAAGGGCTGAGATTTGCATCTAAACATTGACACTCTACTTTCATCAGTCTGATCCTATGGATGCCAGAGCCAAGGCCATTAGTGACATTCTCCCAGCAGCCACCAAAAGCAGACTAAGATGCTGGTTTTCATGGAAAAACTGATCCACTACCTGGGAAAAATGTGTACCAAATCAGTCATACACTGATTTATTTTATTCATTCATACCTTTTCTTTTGGCCTATAATTCCTACAAACGAAGCTTAAATTACAGAAATTGGCGGCTCTGTTGTGGCCCGTCAGCTGCCAGCAGGAGAGCCTGGGCCAGATTCAGAGCCTTTGGGAGGCTTGGATAAGGAAATAGCATCAGAGACACAGGGAGAGCCAGGGCCCTTTGTCCTCCCCCAGGTGGAGGGGAGCTCTCTTTGGGCCTGAGCTGAGTGACGGGGAAAGAACAGATGGGGGCCATCCCAGATACGCGTATGCCCACAGAGGAAAGGAGAGGAGAGCAAAGGAATGCAGTAAGCCAACTCTCAGGGATAGGCAGATGCAGACACAAGCCACCCCCACCCTTGCTGGGAAATAAATAGGAGGGATTTGGGAGTGGCCAGTTGTCAGAGACAACTGTTTGTTTCTAGTATACAGCAAGCAATTCGGATTTCTTGGATA